ACACACTCTACTTATAAAGAAGTAGTGTGTGTGTGTGTGTGTGTGTGTGTGTGTGTGTGTGTGTGTGTGTGTGTGTGTGTGTGTGTGTTTGAGGGCAGAATTTGGCCTTATGTACTGTCATTGAAAGCAGTCAATTTTTTGGTGAAACGTGCTAAATCTTTCCCAAACATATTGTAAAATTACACAACATCTCAATTTTAGGAGAGGAAGAGAAGAATGTGATATTGAATGAAAGAGGGAATTTCAGGTAGGCAGATTATATCTACCTTGGGATCTGGCCAGAATGCTGATGTTAGCTTAATATCCTTGCCCTCCTGAAGAGTGCTGTGAGATTTTTCACTACTTAACGTTTTACATCTCATTTGAATGATGATAATTCCAGCAGCATAGTGCCAGTTTGCACCCTACTGGGATGTTGTTCAAAGAGAAGAGTCTGGCAAATAAAGAGTTTCCTTCTGAATGCTTCCTATGTGGCTTTTCCCAAGGACTCTAATTCGATTACTTATCTGGCCATAATACAAGAAGCCAAGCTTCTCCACCCAGAAGTCCACTTAGAGCAGATCAAGGTATGCCCAGGATATCATCAGAAAAAGAAAATCTGCCACCAAAAAGTGTAGCAAAAGCTATGAAGGTAACTTTTCAAACTCCTATTCACTTAGAGCAGATGAAGATATCCCAGGACTACATATTCAACACCCCATGGTTAGTTGCTACAATTTTAGTAGTTTAGTAGCTGTTACACAAATGCAACTATGACATTTTAAAAGAAAAGATATGAGGTCAAAGTTTGAAACAAACTTCTTAATTATGCAAGCAAAATTTGCAGAGGCATCTCTTCAGAGGTCACTGAATGCACAAAATAGATGCACTTGCAAAATTTGCAGGAGTATTTAAGGAGGCTGTTAGAAAACAAACCCTAAAAGAGATCACAATGTTTCTTGGAATCACAAAATGCACAAAAAAATAGGTAGTTTTTAAAAAAGATGGTTAATCCATAAACCATCAAAGGAAAGTATTACTACCTGCTCAAAGAGAGCTCCTCTCAGAATGACCACTTTTCCTCCCTTGTTTGTTTGTTGATCATTCCTTTGACAGACATCTGTTCAGAACAGTGGTTAACTGACTAATAGTGTTTCATTTATCAAAATATCAGCACAAGAAAATTCATCTATGACTCCAACATCCAAGAACATTCAGTCAACTACAGGTAAGACTACATCCTTTTATAATCTTATTTATAGTCTGTTTAGAACAGACATATTAATCAATGATGTTTCATTGATTCCTGAAGTTGAAGGCAACAAAGGACCATTAGCTCTTTTAATCTGACCGAGTGTATAGTAAAGGCCACTGAATTTCATTCAGCTACCCCTGTATTGAATCCAATCATTTGTGTTTGGCTAAAGCATATTCTCCAGAAAAGCATCCAGTCTTGATCTGAAGACATCAATAGATGCTTCCTTTGGTAGTTTGTTCCAATGATTAATCACTCTTATTGTTTAAAAATGTGTGCCTTATTTCTCATTTGAATTTTGTCTGGCTTCAGCTTCCAGTCTTTGGTTCTCTTTATGCCTTTCTCTGCTAGATTAAAGAACCTTTAGTACCTGTATTTCTTCCCGTGAAGGCGTTTACACAGTATAATCAAGTCACCACATAACCTTCTTTTAAATAAACTCTTTAAATCTCTCACTTTAAGTCATTTTCTCCAGCCCTCAAACCATTTCTGTGGCTTTGTAATGCACCCTTTCCAATTTATTAATAACTTTTTTTACAATGTGGACACCAGAACTACGTATACTGTTCCAATATTGGTCTCACCAATGCTGTATTCAAAAGTAAAATCACTTCCCTACTTACTACTTCCCTGTTTATACATCCAAGGCCTTTTTACCGTAGCATCATACGTGGAGTTCATGTGGTGTTGCTTGATCACTATGTCCCATAAATCCTTTTCTAAGTTATTGCTTTCTAGGATACAGACCCCCATTCTGTAGACATGGCCTGTATTGCTTGTTCCTAGGTTTACAACTTTTCATTTGGTTATATTAAAATGCATTTTATCTGAATGGACCCAGTTTATCATGTGATCCAAGTAGCTCTGTATGACTGCGCTGGCCCCATCATACCACCAATTGCTGTGTCATCCACAAATTCTATCAGCTGTGATGATATATCTACTTTCAGATCATTGATCAAAATACTGCATAGTATCAGGCCTAGAACTGATCCATGTGGAACCCATGATAAACACACCATTTGATGATGATTCCCCATTGAGAACTAATTTTTTAGATCAGTAATGTATCAGTGGGAAGGGCAGTATTGTTTCACTTAATGACCAAGAGGAAAATGTCAAAGGAAATCAGAGAATATTGACACAGTGACTGCATATAACAGAGTGTTTTACCCTGCACTTTCAAAGAGGTGCATAGATATTATACTATTTGATTCTGTTAACATCAAGAGTAGTTGCTAGGCTACAAAGCCTGTGCACTATGTTGAAAGTTTAGTGGTTAGACTTCACTTATTGCCTTGCAGCTCAGGTTAAAGAATTTGTGCATAGCAAGGTAATGCAATGAGCTAGCACCATATGCTGAAGCTTGAACCTAGTCACTAAATGGTAAGCACATGGAGGTGCCGGAGAGGACTGTGAGGCTCAAGGGTTTGTAGAATACAGAGTTTTTTATTTCTAGCCCACCAATTCAGATATGGCCAGATATCACTAATAGTGGGGGGGGAGGAGGGAGAGAAGGAACCACCTCTTAAGACCACACAATGAGCTGGATTCCCCACTGACTTGTGTCACCATTTTCAGCTGTGCCAAGTAGGCATGAAATATTACTAAATCATACTTTATCATTTTGCATGCATTTGGCACAAAGTAAATGATAAAATAAGGTGAAAAATTAAGCTCTCCCTATATTTTTAAACCCCCCGTATCTGACCTCCCTCCCTCCAAGATTTCTGAGGCTGTTTCCATACTCCAGCTTGCTTGATAATTGTCTCCATAAAGTGAAAGGATGCACTTCTGGCTATGAAAAAATTGGGGGAATAGGAACCTTTCTTCAGAAGGAGTCATTGATTGGATACCTTCCCCATGGAAAAGAAAAACCGAGATTAGCATCTTGCAGGAATGTGAATTGGGGACCATAGCTTTCTTCAAGCAGATTGTCTTAGCAAATTATCAATATACTTCATGTCATATACTGCATATTTTACAAAGCAAAGACTAGATTAATAGAAAAGGAGGTGTCAAAACAGAGTTTTGTTGCCCTAGTATGAAATATGGCCTAGGAAAGAATGACTCTGCCATTTTAGGCCACCTTTGTTCATGTACCTTTCTCAGATCTATAGTATGGTATAGCGCACACAGATTCCTCTGGTTTCTAATCAGCTAATACTTTACAGGTCATATCTCAGCTCTCTCAATCTGGCTGATCTCAGAAATGCTAACGTGAGTGCAGTGTGCTGAACAAAGGGAACAAAGCTGACTGCTCTACCCAGCAGCCAATACAGGGGCATGACATGAGAGTACTATGAATGGAGTCACATCATAATAGCAGTGTGCTGGTCTATGTCTACACCATAGGGTGTTAATACATCACGACAATATGTCATGATGCAAAGCCAAACGTCAGCATGCCACACTATGTGATGATTTTGTGCCTCTCTGCTGATTCTATTCACTAATGAAGCTGATCTCTTCCTCCTCAGACTTGATTATCATGGCCCTGATTGTCTGCCGCCCTGCATCTTGTGCAGTCATTGGCAGCAGTATGGGGTGGGTGTAAAAAAGTAGTGTTTTACACCCTCTGTGCTGTCACATTGCCAGCCCCAGCATGCAAAAATCATCACACAAGCAAAAAAAACAAACAAAAAGGATTTAAAAATCAGAAGATTTTTAAAAATATATAAATTTGGGGGTTCTTTAAATTTGTCTTCTAATTTCTGAGCCTTTAGTGTGCACTTGGGTCATGTTCTCAGATCTTTTCTCCACAACCATGAAGGCTAGAACTTTTTGTGATAAAAGCTAAGATTTTCACAAAATTTAAAAAAAGCACCATTTATTGTGATAATCTCCCAAGAGTTGGCTCTGCACTGGTGTAGATGATGACACAAGATACCTTGAACATGCTGCACGCCCATGCATTGTTGTTTCTCCCATTCCTTTGACCGTGCTCCAAACAACAAATCATGGACTGTTTATGAGACTAAGGCTGGCCTATACCTAAAATTTCTTCTAGTGTAATTATATGGATTAGGAGTTTGACTAGTGTAACAACAGTTACCTTTACCATTAGAGCTTATTTTGGTTGGGGAGCTGGTATAAACCGTACCAGCAAGAGAACACTTTTGCCAGTCTAAACTGTGTCTTCACTAGGTCTTTCAAACATAGACAAGGCCTACAGTTGGTGTAGCTCTCACTCCCTTGTGAGTTAGAGCATGAACAATTGAATAAGAAGTGGAGGGCTGTCTTCAGGAGAAATTAGCAAATCAGTGGTTCACCAGATACATTCTCTCTATACCACCAAGGATTACAGCAGAAACCCCTATGCTTTCCATGTGATTTAGCCATGCAACTCCCACTAATTTCAGTTTGGTGTGAATGTAAGTGGTATAGCTAAATCCTGCACATCTTTGGAAACCGAAGGGAAAGCATTAGGATCCTAAATGTTACAAATGCTTTGTATGCACATTATTAACTTTCATATTTTAGCACCAAACAGACCTGGACGATGTCTGCATTAACACAATCCTTTATATTACTTTTCAGTTTCCAGTGATTCAACCTTTACTATAAGGAGTAGTACAAATGTCTCAGGTAAGCTCTCAATGTTTTCACTTTGCCTGGGATTCAGAGGTCTCTGTCACCTGCTTTGCATGTAAGACAATGAGAGAGATTCTCTACACCACAAACTTGGGCATGCATTTAAAGAAGACTTTTTTTGGTTTTGGAATATAAATGTCAGTAGAAAATTGTGCTGAACTCCTCCAAGCTGCCTGTGCAACCTTAATTCATAGAATCATAGACTTCAAGGTCAGAAGGGACCATTATGTCTGACTTTCTGCATTTCGCAGGCCACAGAAGCTCACCCAGCCACTCCTGTATCAAACCCCTAACCTATGTCTGAGTTATTGAAGTCCTCAAATCGTGGTTTAAAGACTTCAAGGTGCAGAGAATCCTCCAGGAATGACCCGTGCCCCACGCTGCAGAGGAAGGCGAAAAACCCTCAGGGCCTCTGCCAGTCTGCCCTGGAGGAAAATTCCTTCCTGACCCCAAATATGGCGATCAACTAAACCTTGAGCATGTGAGCAAGACTCACCAACCAGACACCCAGGAAAGAATTCACTGTAGTAACTCAGATCCCACCCCATCTAACATCCCATCACAGGCCACTGGGCATATTTACCGCTAATAGTCAAAGATCAATTAATTGCCAAAATTAGGCTATCCCGTCATACCACCCCCTCCATAAATTTATCAAGCTGAGTCTTGAAGCCAGATATGTTGTCTCTTGCCCCCACTGCTCCCCTTGGAAGGCTGTTCCAGAACTTCACTCCTCTGATGGTTAGAAACCTTCATCTAATTTCAAGTCTAAACTTCCTGATGGCCAATTTATATCCATTTATTCTTGTGTCCACATTGGTACTGAGCTTAAATAATTCCTCTCCCTCCCTGGTATTTATTCCTCTGATATGTATATAGAGAGAGCAATCATATCTCCCCTGCGCCTTCTTTTGGTTAGGCTAAACAAGCCAAGCTCTTTGAGTCTCCTTTCGTAAGACAGGTTTTCCATTCCTCGGATCATCCTAGCAGCCCTCCTCTGTACCTGTTCCAGTTTGAATTCATCCTTTTTAAACATGGGAGACCAGAACTGCACACAGTAGTCCAGATGAGGTCTCACCAGTGCCTTGTGTAATGGTACTAACACCTCCCTATCTCTACTGGATATACCTCACCTGATGCATCCCAAGACCTCATTAGCTTTTTTCACGGCCATATCACATTGGCGGCTCATAGTCATCCTGTGATCAACCAATATGCCGAGGTCCTTCTCCTCCTCTGTTACTTCCAACTGATGTGTCCCCAGCTTATAACAAAAATTCTTGTTATTAATCCCTAAATGCATGACCTTGCACTTTTCACTATTAAATTCCATCCTGTTACTTTCCCCCATGAAAGCTCATGCTCCAATACATCCGTTAGTCTATAAGGTGCCACCGGACTCTTTGCTGCTTTTACAGATCCAGACTAACACGGCTACCCCTTTGATACTTGACATCCTATTACTATTACTCCAGTTTACAAGGTCATCCAGATCTTCTTTTATGATATCCTGGTCCTTCTCTGTATTGGCAATACCTCCCAGCTTTGTGTCATCACAAACTTTATTAGCACATTCCCACTTTTTTGCCAAGGTAAGTAATAAAAAGATTAAATAAGATTGGTCCCAAAACTGATCCCTGAGGAACTCCATTAATAACCTCCCTCCAGCCTGACAGTTCAGCTTTCAGTACGACCCGTTGTAGTCTCCCCTTTAACCAGTTCCTTATCCACCTTTCAGTTTTCATATTGATCCCCATCTTTTCCAATTTAGCTAATAATTCCCCATGTGGAACTGTATCAAATGCCTTACTGAAATTGAGGTAAATTAGATCCACTGCATTTCCTTTGTCTAAAAAAATCTGTTACCTTCTCAAAGAAGGAGATCAGGTTGGTTTGGCATGATCTGCCTTTTGTAAAACCATGTTGTATTTTGTCTCAATTACCATTGACCTCAATGTCCTTAACTACTTTCTCCTTCAAAAATTTTTCCAAAACCTTGCATACTGCACATGTCAAACTAACAGGCCTGTGGTTACCTGGATCCTTTCTTTTTTCCTTTCTTAAAAATAGGAACTATGTTAGCAATTCTCCAGTCATATGATACAACCCCTGAGTTTACACATTCATTAAAAATTCTTGCTAATGGGCTTGCAATTTCATGTGCCAGTTCCTTTAATATTCTTGTATGAAGATTATCTGAGCCCCCCTATTTAGTTCCATTAAGCTGTTTGAGTTTGGCTTCTAACTCGGCTGTGGTAATATCTACCTCCATATTCTCATTCTCATTTGTCATCCTACCATTATCCCTAAGCTCCTCATTAAAGACTGAGGCAAAGTATTTTTTTAGATATTGGGCCATGCCTAGATTATTCTTAACCTCCACTCCATCTTCAGTGTTTAGCAGTCCCACTTCTTCTTTCTTTGTGTTCTTATTTATATGGCTATAGAACCTTTTACTATTGGTTTTAATTCCCTTTGCAAGGTCCAATTCTACATGGCTTTTGGCCTTTCTCACTTTATCCCTACATGTTCTCTGACCTCAATAAGGTAGCTTTTCTTGCTGATCACTCTCATCTTCCACTCCTTGTAGGCTTTCTGCTTTTTCTTAATCACCTCTCTAAGATGCTTGCTAATCCAGCTTGATCTACAATTCCTGCCTATGAATTTTTCCCCCTTTCTTGGGATGCAGGCTTCTGATAGTTTCTGCAACTTTGACTTGAAGTAATTCCAGGTCTTCAAGTTCTTCAGTCCAATCCACTTCCCTAACTAATTTCCTTAAATTTTTGAAGTTAGCCCTTCACTAACACAATCCTTTATACAACTTTTCAGTTTCCAGTGATTCAACTATTACTATAAGCAGTAGTACAAGTGTCTCAGGTAAGCTCTCAAGGTTTTCACTGTGCAACCTTAATTCAGCCCCATTGTGCGTATGTGTTATGATATAGTCTTTAATTACATGATTGCATACTGTTTTTTTCCACTGGATCCCTGCCTCGTTTGTTGCACAGGATGGATATTGCTCAATTTATGAGCGGTTGTTCAATATTTTCTTTTATCATCATTGATCAATGTATGGCCCCATGCACACTGTTGAAATCATGCTCTGAAGACAGAATTATTAATTTCCTTATAGGCTTTTCTCTGGCAATCTGAGAACTTATAGTATCTGAGGGCTTCGCAATCATTTATTCATCTCTCTTTACAACTGTTATGTGAGATGAGGGGGTGTTATTATTCGTATATAACTGATGGGGAACTGAGGCACAGAGGGATTAAGATCAAAATATCCACTAATTTTGGGTACCCAATTTGAGCTGTCTAGGACATGAACTTTCAGAGTTCTTAATATTATGTAGCACTTCGTATGTCTGAGCACAGCTCCCACTGAATTCAGTTGCAGCTGTGAGCACTCAGCGCTTCTGCAAATTGGACTACAGGGTCTCGAGTTGGGCAGCCAGTAAATGAGAAACACACAATTAGTGACCACCTATAAAAAGTTTAGTTTAAGTGATTTGCCTGCCGTCACACAAGAACTCTGGCAGAGACGGGGATAGAATCAAGTTTCCAGAGCAATATTCAGCTGTCTTAACCATGGGACCATCCTTTCTCTTCCTGCAAATGCTTGCTTCATCCACTACACACCTTCCAACTTCTGCAACAAATGAAGCAGGGGTCCCACGGACAACAGTTTCCTTCACTACACAACTCTGATTTGTCCCTAGCACAAGTCTAGCATATGCACTGAATGACGCAGGAGTTCTGTGGAAAAAATACTATGTGATCATGCAGTTAAAGACTGTGTCATAATGCATATGCACAAGGAGGGCTGAATTAAGGTTGTATTGGCAACCTTAATTTTGGCATTTCCTAACTTTTGAGGGCTTAATTTTGCAATCCTAATAACGTTCTTTTAATGTAGGGTTTTTTAATGCAATTTCCTAGGTTTTTAAAAAAAGCAAACTGAAAAAACAAATTCTGTCATCCCTAGAAGCTGTGAGGGGATGGGGTATCTAGTGAGGATGGAATTTTCAGAGATTTTAGCTGCTAAATCTGAAGAAGTCTCTATTAAGCATGTGTGAACTGTGATTTTTTTCAAAGGCCAAGTTTTGGTGAATTTTCATGAGGATGGAAAAAGGCACATCCTTGAGAAAACAGCCATTCCCTGCTAAATTTCAAGTCCTTGCTCTGAAGATTAAGGGTGCTACAGCTGATTAAAGAAAACATTACCAGAATTTTTTAACATGAGCAAAACAACATATATTTCCCTAGCCTTATTCTTGGAAATGGCTGAACATTTTCACTAAACTTTCCCTCCTCCGCTCAGAAAAATTCAGCCTGCTGAAGACATCCAACATTACTGGTCAGTAGTCAGACTGACCAATGCAACCTACTGAGTTCATTTTACTAATTAGCTCTGACTATTTATGTTGCCAAATTGAGCATCCTGTCAATCAGTCCTGCAGATTTCAAATAGGACAAAGGACTACTGACTTGCTCATCTGATCCTACCACCCACTTGACCAGAGCTATTCTTAATTCCAAAGTTGGTTTTGTTTTGTTTTTCTCTAGGGAAAGAAATCCCAGAATCTCCAAAGAATAAAAATAAACCACTCCTCCAGATAATGTCTTATCTATTAACATGGGTGCAAACACTGGGTCTAATTCTGCCCTCCCACCAATGTAAATCAAAATCATATCTCCATTGAAGCAAATAGTTACTTCTAATTTACACCAGTGTGTTGAGTTGCTTGACCACTATGACCCATGAATCCTTTTCTGTTATTGCTTTCTAGGATACAGACCCCCCATTCAGTAGACATGGCCTGTAGTTTTTTTTCCTAGGTGTATAACTTTTCATTTGGTTATCTTATAATGCATTTTATCCAAACGGACCCAGTTTATCATGTGATCAAATAGCTCTGTATGATTGCCCTGGCCCCATCATAACACCAATCTTTGTGTAGTCCACAAATTGTAGGAGCTGTGATGATATATCTGCTTTCGGATCATGAAAATGTTGAAGAGTATCAGGACTCGTACTAACCCATGTGGAACCCCATGATAAACACATCATTTGATGATGATTCCCCATTGAGAACTAATATTTTAGACCAGTCATTTAGCTATTTATCACAGGCTTTATTGGTATTCTATAATGCTAATTTTTTAATCGGAATGTTGTGCGGTACTAAGTCAAATGCCTTACAAAAGTCTAAGGGCTTATCTACGCATGAACATTTACTTTGGAAGATGGCGGGGTATGTATTTAAAGCCAATTAACTATTCCTGACTATTTCCAAGTGTGGATTTTTTATGCCAGAATAAGAGTGCCTTATTTCAATTTAGTTTAATCCATGTAGTAAACCAATTTGAATAAAGCACTCTTCTTCTGGAATAAGAGTGTCCACACTTGGAGTTGATCAGGAATAGTTAATCAGGAATAGCTTTTACAGATAAACCAAACTTGTAATTTCAGCAAAGAATGAAATCAGGTTTGTTTGACATTGTTCTGTACAGCAGCCTCTTTCTCTGTTTTGTGATGCTTTGCTGTAAATTCGGTTCTGCTGTTGCCAAGCAGACAAAAATCTTTTCTGCAGAAGAACCCCAAAGTCAACTGACTGAGTAGCTATTTGGTGAATTACTGCAGTAATATATCAGTGGGAAGGGCTGAACTGTATCACTAAGTGACCAAGAGGAAAATGTCAGGGGAAATCAGAGAATATTGACACAGTGACTGCATCTAACAAATTATAGTTTCTATATAAATTATTGGACTAAGTCTACCCTTAGATACAGACTGAAGGACACATGCTAACATTCCTATTAAAAAGAGGTGTGTGGGGGGGTGTCTGAGGGAGGAATTTGGCCTTATGTCCTGTCATTGAAAGGCAGACATTTTTTTTTGGTGAAACGTGCTAAATGTTTCCTAAGCATATCGTAAAACTTCACAATATCTCAATTTTAAGAGAGGAAGAGAAGAATGTGATATTGAATGCAAGAGGGAATTTCAGGTAGGCAGATTATATCCACCTTGGGATTTGGACAGAATGCTGAAGTTAGGTTAATAGATGCATTTGCAAAATTTGCAAGAGTATTTAAGGAGGCTGTTAGAAAACACACTCCAAAAGAGATCAAAATGTTTCTTGGAATCACAAAATGCACAAAACAATTGGCCGTTTTTAAAAGATAAGCTTAATCCATAAACCTTCAAAGGAAAGTTTTACCAGCTGCTCAAAGAGAGCTCCTCTGCAGAATGACCACTTTTCCTCCCTTGTTTGATTGTTGATTATTCCTTTGACAGACATCTGTTCAGAACAGTGGTTAACTGACTAATAGTGTTTCTTTTATCAAAATATCAGCACAAGAAAATTCATCTATGACTCCAACATCCAAGAACATTCAGTCAATTACAGGTAAGACTACATCCTTTTATAATTTTATTTATAATCTGTTTAGAACAGACATATTAATCAATGATGTTTCATTGATTCCTGAAGTTGAAGGCAACAAAGGACCATTAGCTCTTTTAATCTGACCGAGTGTATAGTAAAGGCCATTACGTTTCATTCAGCTATCCCTGTATTGAGTCCAATCATTTGTGTTTGGCTAAAGCATATTATCCAGAAAAGCATCCAGTCTTGATCTAAAGACATCAATAGATGTTTCCTTTGGTAGCTTGTTCCAATGATTAATCACCCTTATCGTTTAAAAATGTGTGCCTTATTTCTCATTTGAATTTTGTCTCGTTTCACCTTTCAGGCTTTGATTCTCTTTATGCCTTTCTCTGATAGATTAAAGAACCCTTTAGTACCTGGTATTTTCTTCCCATGACGGTATTTACACACTATAATCAAGTTACCACACAACCTTCTTTTTAAAAAGCTCTTTAAATCTCTCACTTTAAGGCATTTCCTCCACCCCTCGAACCATTTCTGTGGCTTTGTAATACACACTTTCCAATTTATTAATAACTTTTTTACAATGTAGACACCCAAACTAGATATACTATTCCAGTATTGGTCTCACCAATGCTGTATTCAGAAGAAAAATCACTTTCCTACTTACTACTCCCGTTTATACATTCAAGGATCGCATTAGCCCTTTTTACCATGGCATCACACTTGGAGCTCATGTGGAATTGCTTGACCACTATGACCCATAAATCCTTCATAAATCCTTTTCTAAGTTATTGCTTTCTAGGATACAGGACCCCATTCTGTAGACATGGTCTGTATTGCTTGTTCCTTGGTGTGTAACTTTTCATTTGGTTATATTAAAATGCATTTTATCTGAATGGACCCAGCTTATCATGTGATCAAATAGCTCTGTATGATTGCCCTGGCCCCATCATAATACCAATCTTTGTGTCATCCACAAATTCTATCAGCTGTGATGATATATCTGCTTTCAGATCATTCATGAAAATGTTGAATAATATCAGGTCTTGTACTAATCCACATGGAACCACATGATAAACACATCATTTGATGATGATTCTGCATTGAGAACTAATTTTTAGACCAATCATTTAGATACTTACCACATGCTTTATTGGTATTCTATAGTGCTAATTTTTTAATCGGAATGTTGTGCGGTACTAAGTCAAATGCCTTACAAAAGTCTCAGGGCTTATCTACGCATGAAAGTTTACTTTGGAAGATGGCGGGGTATGTATTTAAAGCCAATTAACTATTCCTGACTATTTCCAAGTGTGGATGCTTTTATGCCAGAATAAGAGTGCCTTATTTCAATTTAGTTTAATCCATGTAGTAAACTAATTTGAATAAAGCACTCTTCTTCTGGAATAAGAGTGTCCACACTTGGAGTTGATCAGGAATAGATTTTTCAGATTAACCAAATTTGTAATTTCAGCAAAGAATGAAATCAGGTTTGTTTGACATTGTTCTGTACAGCAGCCTCTTTCTCTGTTTTGTGATGCTTTGCTGTACATTCGGTTCTGCTGTTGCAAAGCAGAAAGAAATCTTTTCTGCAGAAGAACCCCAAAGTCAACTGACTGAGTAGATACTTGATGAATTACTGCAGTAAAGTATCAGTGGGAAGGGCTGAACTGTATCACTGAGTGACCAAGAGGAAAATGTCAGGGGAAATCAGAGAATATTGACACAGTGACTGCATCTAACAAATTATAGTTTCTATATAAATTATTGGACTAATTCTGCTCTTAGATATATACAGATGGACACATGCACACACTCGTATTAAAAGGGTGTGTGTGCGTATGTGTGTGTGTATCTGAGGACAGAATTTGGCCTTATGTACTGTCATTGAAAGGCAATCATTTTTTTGGTGAAACGTGCTAAATGTTTCCCAAGCATATTGTAAAACTACACAACATCTCAATTTTAGGAGAGGAAGAGAAGAATGTGATATTGAATGAAAGAGGGAATTTCAGGTAGGCAGATTATATCCATTTTGGGAACTGGCCAAAATGCTGCGGTTGGGTTAATATCCTTGCCCTCCTGAAGAGTGCCGTGAGATTTTTCACTACTTAATGTTTTAAATCTTATTTGAATGATGATAATTCCAGCAGCATAGTGTCAGTGTGCACCGTACTGGGATGTCATTCAAAGAGAAAAGTCCAGCAAATAGAGAGTTTCCTTCTGAATGCTTCCTACATGGCTTTTCCCAAGGACTCTAATTCAATTACTTATCTGACCATAATACAAGGAGCCAAGCTTCTCCACCCAGAAGTCCACTTAGAGCAGATCAAGGTATGCCCAGGATATCATCAGAAAAAGAAAATCTGCCACCAAAAAGTGTAGCAAAAGCTATGGAGGTAACTTTTCAAACTCCTATGCGGGATCCTCAGACTCACAGAATCTTGAGTCCTAGTATGGAAAACAAACTTGAGACTACTTTCACACTAGATGATTGTACTGAAGTAACCCCATAGTTAGTTGCTATAATTATAGTTTAGTAGCTGTTACACACTATGACATTTTAAAAGAAAAGATATGTGGTCAATTTTGAAATACACTTCTTAACTATGCAAGCAAAATTTGCAGCGGTACCTCTTCACAGGTTCCTGAATGCACAAAATAGATGCACTTGCAAAATTTGCAGGAGTATTTAAGGAGGCTGTTAGAAAACACACTACAAAAGAGATCAAAATGTTTCTTGGAATCACAAAATGCACAAAACAATTGGCCGTTTTTAAAAGATAAGGTTAATCTATGAACCATCAAAGGAAAGTTTTACCAGCTGCTCAAAGAGAGCTCCTCTGCAGAATGACCACTTTTCCTCCCTTGTTTGATTGTTGATTATTCCATTGACAGACATCTGTTCAGAACAGTGGTTAACTGACTAATAGTGTTTCTTTTATCAAAATATCAGCACAAGAAAATTCATCTATGACTCCACCATCCAAGAACAGTCAGTCAACTACAGGTAAGACTACATCCTTTTATAATCTTATTTATAGTCTGTTTAGAACAGACACATTAATCGATGATGTTTCATAGATTCTTGAAGTTTAAGGCAAAAAAGGACGATTAGATCTTTTTATCTGACTGAGTGTATAGCAAAGGCCATTACGTTTCATTCAGCTATCCCTGTATTGAGTCCAATCATTTGTATTTGGCTAAAGCATATTATCCAGAAAAGCATCCAGTCTTGATCTGAAGACATCAATAGATGCTTCCTTTGGTAGCTTGTTCCAATTAATAATCACCCTTATCGTTTAAAAATGTGTGCCTTATTTCTAATTTGAATTTTGTCTGGTTTCACCTTCCAGGCTTTGATTCTCTTTATGCCTTTCTCTGATAGATTAAAGAACCCTTTAGTACCTGGTATTTTCTTCCCATGAAGGTGTTTACACACTATAATCAAGTCACCACACAACCTTCTTTTTAAAAAGCTCTTTAAATCTCTCACTTTAAGGCATTTTCTCCAGCCCTTGAACCATTTCTGTGGCTTTGTAATGCACCCTTTCCAATTTTTCAATATCTTTTTTATATTGTGGACACAGGAACTATATATACTGTTCCAGTATTGGTCTCACCAATGCTGTATTCAGAAGCAAAATCACTTCCCTACTTACTACTCCCCTGTTTATATATCCAAGGATCACAATAGTCCTTTTTATAATGGTGTCACACTGGGAGCTCATGTGGAGTTGCTTGACCACTATGACCAATAAATTCTTTTCTATGTTATTGCTTTCTAGGATACAGACCCCCATTCTGTAGACATGGTCTGTATTGCTTGTTCCTTGGTGTGTAACTTTTCATTTGGTTATATTAAAATGCATTTTATCTGAATGGACCCAGCTTATCATGTGATCAAATAGCTCTGTATGACTGCCCTGGCCCCATCATAACACCAATCTTTGTGTCATCCACAAATTCTATCAGCTGTGATGATATATCTGCTTTTGGATCATTCATGAAAATGTTGAATAATATCAGGCCTTGTACTAATCGATGGGGAACCCCATGATAAACACATCATTTGATGATGATTCCCCATTGAGAACTAATTTTTTAGACCAGTCATTTAGCTACTTATCACAGGCTTTATTGGTATTCTATAGTGCTAATTTTTTAACCGGAATGTTGTGCGGTACTAAGTCAAATACCTTACAAAAGTTTACTTTGGAAGAAGGCGGGGTATGTATTTAAAGACAATTAACTATTCCTGACTATTTCCAAGTGTGGATGCTTTTATGCCAGAATAAGAGTGCCTTATTTCAATTTAGTTTAATCCATGTAGTAAACTAATTTGAATAAAGCACTCTTCTTCTGGAATAAGAGTGTCCACACTTGGAGTAGCTCAGGTATAGTTAATCAGGAATAGATTTTCCCAATTAACCAAACTTGTAATTTCAGCCAATAATTAAATCAGGTTTGTTTGACATTGTTCTGTACAGCAGCCTTTTTCTCTGTTTTGTGATGCTTTGCTGTAAATTCGGTTCTGCTGTTGCCAAGCAGACAAAAATCTTTTCTGCAGAAGAACCCCAAAGTCAACTGACTGAGTAGCTATTTGGTGAATTACTGCAGTAATATATCAGTGGGAAGGGCTGAACTGTATCACTAAGTGACCAAGAGGAAAATGTCAGGGGAAATCAGAGAATATTGACACAGTGACTGCATCTAACAAATTATAGTTTCTGTATAAATTATTAGACTAATTCTATCCTTAGGTACAGACTGACAGACACAAGCACACACTACTATTAAGAAAGTGGTGTGTCTCGGGGGAGAGGAGGCAGAATTTGGCCTTATGTACTGTCATTGAAAGGCAATCATTTTTTTGGTGAAACGTGCTAAATGTTTCCCAAGCATATTGTAAAACTACACAACATCTCAATTTTAGGAGAGGAAGAGAAGAATGTGATATTGAATGAAAGAGGGAATTTCAGGTAGGCAGATTATATCCATTTTGGGAATTGGCCAGAATGCTGATGTTGGGTTAATATCCTTGCCCTCCTGAAGAGTGCTTTGAGATTTTTCACTACTTAACGTTTTACATCTCATTTGAATGATGATAATTCCAGCAGCATAGTGCCAGTTTGCACCCTACTGGGATGTTGTTCAAAGAGAAGAGTCCAGCAAATAAAGAGTTTCCTTCTGAATGCTTCCTACGTGGCTTTTCCCAAGGACTCTAATTCGATTACTTATCTGGCCATAATACAAGAAACCAAGCTGCTCCACCCAGAATGGAATCCAGGAATATAGCCCATTTAGAGCAGGTCAAGATATGCCCAGGACTACATATATTCAACACCCCGTAGTTAGTTGCTATAATTTTAATAGTTTAGTAGCTGTTACACAAACGAACACAATCTTTACACAAACCTTTTAAAAGAAAAGATATGAGGTCAAAGTTTGAAACAGACTTCTTAATTATGCAAGCAAAATTTGCAGAGGTATCTCTTCACAGGTCACTGAATGCACAAAATAGACGCACTTGCAAAATTTGCAAGAGTATTTAAGGAGACTGTTAGAAAACACACTACAAAAGAGATCAAACAGTTTTTTGGAATCACAAAATGCACAAAACAATTGGCAGTTTTTAAAAGATAAGGTTAATCCATAAACCATCAAAGGAAAGCATTACCAGCTGCTCAAAGAGAGCTCCTCTGCAGAATGACTACCACTTTTCCTCCCTTGTTTGATTGTTGATTATTCCTTTGACAGACATCTGTTCAGAACAGTGGTTAACTGACTAATAGTGTTTCATTTATCAAAATATCAGCACAAGAAAATTCATCTATGACTCCAACATCCAAGAACATTCAGTCAACTACAGGTAAGACTACATCCTTTTATAATCTTATTTATAGTCTGTTTAGAACAGACACATTAATCGATGATGTTTCATAGATTCTTGAAGTTTAAGGCAACAAGGGACCATTAGATGTTTTAATCTGACCTCATGTATAGTACATGCCATTGCATTTCATTTAGCTCCACCTGTATTGAGTCCAATCCCTTGTGTTTGGCTAAAGCATATTATCCTGAAAAGCATCCAGTCTTGATCTAAGGACATCAATAGATGTTTCCTTTGATAGCTTGTTCCAATGATTAATCACCCTTACTGTTTAAAAATGCGTGGCTTATTTCTCATTTGAATTTTGTCTGGCTTCAGGTTCCATAGAATAATAGAATCATAGAATATCAGGGTTGGAAGGGACCTCTGGAGTCATCTAGTCCAACTCCCTGATCAAAGCAGAACCAATCCCCAACTAAATCATCCGAGCCAGGGCTTTGTCAAGCCTGACCTTAAAAACCTCTAAGGAAGGAGATTCCACCACCTCCCTAGGTAACCCATTCCAGTGCTTCACCACCCTCCTAGTGAAAAAGTTTTTCCTAATATCCAACCTAAACCTCCCCAACTGCAACTTGAGACCATTACTCCTTGTTCTGTCATCTGCTACCACTGAGAACAGTCTAGATCCATCCTCTTTGGAACCCCCTTTCAGGTAGTTGAAAGTAGCTATCAAATCCCCCCTGAGTCTTCTCTTCTGCTGACTAAACAATCCCAGTTCCCTCAGCCTCTCCTCATAAGTCATGTGTTCCAACCCCCTAATCATTTTTGTTGCCCTCCGCTGGACTCTTTCCAATTTTTCCACATCCTTGTAGTGTGGGGCCCAAAACTGGACACCGTACTGCAGATGAGGTCTCACCAATGCCAAATAGAGGCGAACAATCATGTCCCTCGATCTGCTGGCAATGTTCCTACTTATACAGCCCCAAATGCTGTTAGCCTTTCTGGCAACAAGGGCACACTGTTGACTCATATCCAGCTTCTAGTCCACTGTAACCCCTGGGCCCTTTTCTACAGAACTGCTGCCTAGTCTGTAGCAGTGAATGGGATTCTTCCATCCCAAGTGCAGGACTCTGCACTTGTCCTTGTTGAACCTCATCAGATTTCTTTTGGCCCAATCCTCTAATTTGTCTAGGTCCCTCTGTTTCCTATCCCTACCCTCCAGTGTATCTACCACTCCTCCCAGTTTAGTGTCATCTGCAAACTTGCTGAGGGTGCAGTTCATGCCATCCTCCAGATCATTAATGAAGATATTGAACAAAACCGGCCTCAGGACCAGCCCTTGTGGCACTCCGCTTGATACCGGCTGCCAACTAGACATGGAGCCATTGATCACTACCCGTTGAGCCCGACGATCTAGCCAGCTTTCTGTCCACCTTATAGTCCATTCTTTCAGCCCATACTTCTTTAACTTATTGGCAAGAATACTGTGGAAGACCGTATCAAAAGCTGTGCTAAAGTCAAGGAATAACACGTCCACCGCTTTCCCCTCATCCACCAAGCCAGTATCTCGTCATAGAAGGCAATTAGGTTAGTCAGGCATGACTTGCCCTTGGTGAATCCATGCTGACTGTTCCTGTTCACTTTCCTCTCCTCTAAGTGCTTCAGAATTGATTCCTTGAGGACCTGCTCCATGATTTTTCCAGGAACTGAGGTGAGGCTAAGTGGCCTGTAGTTCCCCAGATCCTCCTCCTTCCCTTTTTTAAAGATGGGCACTATATTAGCCTTTTTCCAGTCATCCAGGGTGTCCCCCAATCACCATGAGTTTTCAAAGATAATGGCCAATGGCAATCACATCCGCCAACTCCTTTAGCACCCTTGGCTGCAGTGCATCTGGCCCCATGGACTTGTGCATGTCCAGTTTTTCTAAATAGTTCTGAACCACTTCTTTCTCCACAGAGGGCTGGTCACCTTCTCCCCATATTGTGCTGCCCAGTGCAGCAGTCTGGGAGCTGACCTTGTTCGTGAAGACAGAGGCAAAAAAAGCATTGAGTACATTAGCTTTTTCCACATCCTCTGTCACTAGGTTGCCTCCCTCATTCAGTAAGGGGCCACACTTTCCTTGACTTTCTTCTTGTTGCTAACATACCTGAAGAAACCCTTCTTGTTATTCTTACATCTCTTGCTAGCTGCAACTCTAAGTGTGATTTGGCCTTCCTGATTTCACTCCTGTATGCCTGAAAAATATTTTTATACTCCTCCCTGGTCATTTGTCCAATCTTCCACTTCTTGTAAGCTTCTTTTTTGTGTTTAAGATCAGCAAGGATTTCACTGTTAAGCCAGGCTGGTTACCTGCCATATTTACTATTCTTTCTACACATCGGGATGGTTTGTTCCAGCCTTTGGGTCTCCTTATGCCTTTCTCTGATAGATTAAAGAACCCTTTAGTACTTGGTATTTTCTTCCCATGAAGGCATTTACACACTATAATCAAGTCAGCACACAAGCTTCTTTTTAATAAGCTCTTTAAATCTCTCACTTTAAGGCATTTTCTCCAGCCCTCGAACCATTTCTGTGGCTTTGTAATGCACCCTTTCCGATTTTTCAATATCTTTTTTACATTGTGGACACAAGAACTATATATACTGTTCCAGTATTGGTCTCACCAATGCTGTATTCAGAAGTAAAATCACTTCCCTACTTACTACTCCCCTGTTTATACATCCAAGAATCTCATTAGCCCTTTTTACCATAGCATCGCACTGGGAGCTTGACCACTATGTGGAGTTGCTTGACCACTATGACCCATATATAAATCCTTCATAAATCCTTTTCTAAGTTATTGCTTTCTAGGATACAGACCCCCATTCTGTAGACATGGCCTGTATTGCTTGTTCCTAGGTGTAAAACTTTTCATTTGGTTATATTAAAATGCATTTTATCCCAGTGGACCCAGTTTATCATGTGATCAAATAGCTCTGTATGATTGCCCTGACCCCATCATAACACCAATCTTTGTGTCCACAAATTGTATCAGCTGTGATGATATATCTGCCTTTGGATCATTCATGAAAATGTTGAATAGTATCAGGTCTAGTTCTGATCCATGTGGAACCCCATGATAAACTCACCATTTGATGATGATTCCCAATCAAGAACTAATTTTTTAGATTAGTAATGTATCAGTGGGAAGGGCAGAACTGTTTCACTTAGTGACCAAGAGGAAAATGTCATGAGAAATCAGAGAATATTGACACAGTGACTGCATATAACATAGAGTGCTTTGCCTTGCACTTTCAAAGATATTATGCTATTTTTTCCTGTTAACATCAAGCGTAGTTGCTAGGCTACAAAGCCTGTGCACTATGTTGAAAGTTTAGTGGTTAGACTTCACTTATTGCCTTGCAGCTCAGATTAAAGAATTTGTGCATAGCAAGGTAATGCAATGAGCTAGCACCATATGCTGCAACTTGAACCTAGTCACTAAATGGTAAGCACATGGAGGTGCAGGAGAGGACTGTGAGGCTCAAGGGTTTGTAGAATACAGAGTTTTTTATTTCTAGCCCACCAATTCAGATATGGTCAGATATCACTAATAGTAGGGAGAGGGAGGAGAGAGAGAAGGAACCACCTCTTAAGACCACACAATGAGCTGGATTCCCCACTGCCTTGTGTCACCATTTACAGCTGTGCCAAGTAGGCATGAAATATTACTAAATCATACTTTATCATTTTGCATGCATTTGGCACAAAGTAAATGATAAAATAAGGTGAAAAATTAAGCTCTCCCTATATTTTTAAAACCCCCGTATCTGACCTCCCTCCCTCCAAGATCTCTGAGGCTGTTTCCATACTCCAGCTTGCTTGATAGTTGTCTCCATAAAGTGAAAGGATGCACTTCTGGCTATGAAAAAATTGGGGGAATAGGAACCTTTCTTCAGAAGGAGTCATTGATTGGATACCTTCCCCATGGAAAAGAAAAACTGAGATTAGCATCCTCCAGAAATGTGAATTGGTGACCATGGCTTTCTTCAAGCAGAGTGTCTTAGCGAATTATCAATATACTTCATGCCATATACTGCATATTTTACAAAGCAAAGACTAGATTAATAGAAAAGGGGGTGTCAAAATAGAGCCATGTTGCCCTAGTACTGGGTTTCTCAAACAGGGGTCGCCGCTTGTGTAGGGAAAGCCTCTGGTGGGCTGGGCAAGTTTGTTTACCTGCCCCGTCCGCAGATCCAGCCGATTGGGGGTACCACTGGCCGCGGATCACTGCTCCAGGCCAATGGGAGCTGCTGAAAGCGGCGCGGGCCAAGGGACTTACAGGCTGCCGCTTACTCCCATTGGCAGCTCCCATTGGCCCGAAGCAGCGATCCACAGTCAGTGGGAGCCGCGATTGGCCGGACCAGTAGTGGGGGCAGGTAAACAAACCTGCCCAGCCCGCCAGGAGCTTTCCCTACACAAGCGGCGACCCCTGTTTGAGAAACCCTGCCCTAGTATGAAAGTTGGGCAAGGAAAGAATGACTCTGCCATTTTAGGCCACCTTTGTTCATGTACCTAGCTCAGATCTATAGTATGGTATAGCGCACACAGATTCCTCTGGTTTCTAATCAGCTAATACTTTACAGGTCATATCTCAGCTCTCTCAATCTGGCTGATCTCAGAAATGCTAATGCGAGTGCAGTGTGCTGAGCAAAGGGAACAAAGCTGACTGCTCTACCCAGCAGCCAATACAGGGGGACGACATGAGAGTACCATGAATGGAGTCACATCATAATAGCAGTGTACTGGTCTATGTCTACACCATAGGGTGTTAATACATCACGACAATATGTCATGATGCAAAGCCAAATGTCAGCATGTCACACTATGTGATGATTTTGTGCTGCTCTGCTGATTCTATTCACTAATGAAGCTGATCTCTTCCTCCTCAAACTTGATTATCATAGCCCTGATTGTCTGCCGCCCTGCATCTTGTGCAGTCATTGGCAGCAGTATGGGGTGGGTGTAAAAAAGTAGTGTTTTACACGCTCTGTGCTGTCACATTGCCAGCCCCAGCATGCAAAAATCATCACACAAGACAAAAAAAAAAAGGATTTAAAAATCGTAAGTTTTTAAAAAATATATAAATTTGGTGGTTCTTTAAGTTTGTCTTCTAATTTCTGAGCCTTTAGTGTGCACTTGGGTCATGTTCTCAGAACTTTATTCCACTTTTTGTGATGAAATCTGAGATTTTCACAAAATTACCTGGTTCCAGCCATTGGTGCTTTAAAAAAAGCACCATTAATTGTGATAATCTCCCAAGAGTTGGCTTTGCACTGGTGTAGATGATGACACAAGATACCTTGAACATGCTGCACGCCCATGCATTGTTGTTTCTTCCATTCCTTTGACTGTGCTCTAAACAACAAATCATGGACTGTTTATGAGACTAAGGCTGGCCTATACCTAAAATTTCTGCTAGTGTAATTATATGGGTTAGGAGTTTGACTAGTGTAACAACAGTTACCTTTACCATTAGAGCTTATTTTGGTTGGGGAGCTGATATAAACCGTACCAGCAAGAGAACACTTTTGCCAGTCTAAACTGTGTCTTCACTAGGTCTTTCAAACATAGACAAGGCCTACAGTTGATGTAGCTCTCACTCCATTGTGAGTTAGAGCATGAACAATTGAATAAGAAGTGGTGGGCCAAGGTCATACTCTGGTAAAACTGCAGTAGTCTGAAAAATTTGGGCACCTCTGTTCTAATCCCTACAGTTTATATTCATCTTTTTTATACATCTTCAGGAGAAATTAGCAAATCATTGATTCACCAGATAAATTCTCTCTATACCGCCAAGGATTACAACAGAAACCCCTATCCTTTCCATGTGATTTAGCCATGCAGCTCCCACTAATTTCAGTTTGGTGTGAATGCAAGTGGTATAGCTAAATCCTGCACATCTTTGGAAACATAAGGGAAAGCATTAGGATCCTAAATGTTACAAATGCTTTGTATGCACATTATTAATTTTCATATTTTAGCACCAAACAGACCTGGCAGATGTCTGCACTAACACAATCCTTTATATTACTTTTCAGTTTCCAGTGATTCAGCCATTACTATAAGCAGTAGTACAAATGTCTCAGGTAAGCTCTCAATGTTTTCACTTTGCCTGGGATTCACAGGTCTCTGTCACCTGCTGTGCATATAAGACAATGAGAGTGATTCTCTACACCACAAACTTGGGCATGCATTTAAAGAAGACTTTTTTTGGTTTTGGAATATAAATGTCAGTAGAAAATTGTGCTGAACTCCTCTGAGCTGCCTGTGCAACCTTAATTGTGCGTATGCATTATTATAGTCTTTAATTACATGATTGCATACTATTTTTTCCACTGGATCCCTGCCTCATTTGTTGCACTGGATGGATATTGCTCAATTGATGAGTAGTTATTCAATATTTTCTTTTATCCTCATTGATCAATGTATGGCCCCATGCACACTGTTGAAATCATGCTCTGAAGACAGAATTATTAATTTCCTTATGGGTTTTTCTCTGGCAATCTGAGAACTTATGGTATCTGAGGGCTTCACAATCATTTATTCATCTCTCTTTACAACTGTTATGTGAGATGAGGGGCTGTTATTATTCGTATTTTACTGATGGGGAACTGAGGCACAGAGAGATTAAGATCACCCTTCCTCTCAGAAAAATTCAGCCTGCAGAAGACATTCAACATTATTGGTCAGTAGTCAGACTGACCGAATCAACCTACTGAGTTCATTTTACTAATTATCTCTGACTACACCTCTACCCCGATATAACGCGACCCAATACAACACAAATTCAGATATAATGCAGTAAAGCAGCGCTGCGGGGGGCGGGGCTGCGCACTCTGGCAGATCAAAGCAAGTTCGATATAACGCAGTTTCACCTATAACGCGGTAAGATTTTTTTGGCTCCCGAGGACAGCATTCTATTAGGGTAGAGGTGTATTTATGTTGCCGAATTGAGTATCCTGTTAATCAGTCCTGTGGATTTCAAATAGGACAAAGGACACTTGACTGGCTCATCTGATTAGGGCCGCTCTAACTTTTTTGCCGCCCCACGCAAAGAAAAAGAGCGCCACCCCGCCATAACACCCCACCTCCAGCGCCGCGCCACCGAACCCCCCCCCCCCCCAAGTGCCACACTACGTCGCCGAAACAAAAACAAACCACCCCTCCAAGCGGCACCCGGTCGAAATAAAAACAACAACAAAAACCTCAAGCGCTGCCCCGCCAAAACAAAAAACAAACAAAAGAAAAACCGAGCACCCACCACCACCCCAAGATTGGCCGCCCCTTACAAGGTGCCGCCCCAAGTACATGCTTGGTCAGCTGGTGCCTGGAGCTGGCCCTGCATCTGATCCTACCACCCACGTGACCAGAGCTCTTTTTAATTCCAAAGTTGGTTTTGTTTTGTTTTTCCCTAGGGTAAGAAATCCCAGAATCTCCAAAGAATAAATATTAACTACTCCTCCAGATGATGTCTTATCTATTAATGTGTGAGCAAACACTGGGTCTAATTCTGCTCTCTCAACAATATAAATCAAAAGTCATATCTCCACTGAAGCAAATAGTTACTTCTGATTTACACCAGTGTCAGTGAGAGCAGAACTCCCCCCCCTCACCCCCCCAGAAACATACTGCTTTTCATTTTAACCTATTTTAACATATATCCTTTTCCTTTTTACTTGGAATCTTTCCAAATGCAGGGTCCACTCCTGAAGTCTCTATTCAGTCCCTAGTCAGCTAAAACTATCAATGAGATGCATTCTTATTGAAATTTTGCCTAAGGGCTTCAGGATTGGACCCCCTATGAGGAAAATTTCTCAGATTGTAAAATCCAGTACAGTTGGCAGTCTGTGTTCCAGAGAGACCTAAGGTTGAAATAACAGGTGGTAATGTAGCTAGCTGGAGTTGAGTTACATTGGCAGAGTTACAGTCTGCAATATGCCTTGCCCTAGCCAACTGTAAGTCTTTCACTTCAGTAAACATCAAGGGCCTGATTCTAATCATGAGCAGCTGCAATGAATTCTGCGGTGTTGCATTAGGTGTAAAATCAGTGTAAGTGTCGCAGGGTGGGCTCTTCACCCTGGATTTCCCTTTGCAAGCAGTCCTCACACACACTTATGTAAATTCACCATAGTGTACTTCATTTATGTCTTATGCAGCTTCGTGTCCCATCACCTTAAGGGTTTTTCCAAGCTTCAACATACCCCGGTGGCACAGGGTGAGGAAATAAGAGGTCTCACCTCTCTGAGATCCTGAGCTTCTTAGCCCTTTTTCCAGCCTCCCTCTCTCCCATTTAACAGTCCCAACAGCCGATGACCTGAATCCCTTTAACTGATTAATCATCCAGTCCTAATAAATTATCTCCCAATTTGGCTCATGTGAGCCAGTCGTAGGCTACTCCCATTCTGTCATTTACCTTCCCTCCCCCCGTTTAAAAAATGTGTTTCCTCCCTGGGCCCTTTCTTTCCTCTAGGGGCTGCTGTCCCCTCCCATGTGCAAGATTTCTTTAAACTGGCTCTCTAAAATCTTTATAGGCGCCCTCTCCATTTTCCATCTGTAAAAGGTACATTCTGATGGAGGGGTAGCCTCTTCCTCTGAGTGTCTGCCCATCTTTCTTCACATCATGGGCAACCTTTTGCAGCATCAGACTTTTTGCCCACTTTTGAAGTCTCCCCATCTACAATATCACCCACCTTACCCTGGATTTCAATAAGCTGTTGCCCTTGCTTCTGGATCTCTCCGGCCCTCAACCTTTTCACCTTGCCTTTCGCCGTCTTCATCTAACTCATCTGCTTCTACTTCTTCCTCCTTTTCATACCCTTTTACACTGGGATTCTTCCCCAGAAATTTGGTTCTTAGCTTGTCTCTTGTCTAGTCTGTTCAGTTTCTTCCTTTGGCTTCTTGGCCTCTTTCTTGTCTCACCTGCTCCAGTTCTTCCCTTGCTAGCCATTTGCTTCTTTGGGCATGTCTCTTCTTCCTCAAAGGAAAAGGGCTCAAATGTATTGCAGTTAGCACAGGTTTGGGCCATGTCCTGACCATCTGCCCTTGCTTCCACCAAAATGTTCCCCAAATCTCCAGAGACATCCTGGCTACTGGACAGACTTTCCCTTCCCCATGAACATAAGAACATAAGAAAGGCCATACTGGGTCAGACCAAAGGTCCATCTAGCCCAGTATCCTGTCTACCGACAGTGGCCAATGCCAGGTGCCCCAGAGGGAGTGAACCTAACAGGCAATGATCAAGTGATCTCTCTCCAGCCATCCATCTCCATCCTCTGACAGACAGAGGCTAGAGACACCATTCCTTACCCGTCCTGGTTAATAGCCATTAATGGACTTAACCACCATGAATTTATCCAGTTCTCTTTTAAACTCTGTTATAGTCCTAGCCTTCACAACCTTCTCAGGTAAGGAGTTCCACAAGTTGACTGTGCGCTGCGTGAAGAAGAACTTCCTTTTATTTGTTTTAAACCTGTTTTTTGTTTTAAATGAATGCACATTAGTTTCAGTCTTTCCCCTGGCTTCATCCAGTAGGGCTTCATCCCGTCTCTCCTAACCAATGAGCACCAATGTGTCAGAATCTACCAGGCCTTGTCCCTCATTGCCCCCCTCCCCCAAATCTCATGGAGCCAGTGGGCATTTGTTTTGACTGCTTCCCAAAGGTTCCATCCACCCACAGAACTCAGCAAGATTACAGTCCATGTAGGGGCAGTCCCTCTTCAGATGTCTTGAGCCCCAACACTGGTAACAAACAATTTGACAGTTTGTGGGCAGGGTTTCCTTCCTCCCCCCTCTTATAGTTAGTTGTTCCCCACTTTTCCACTCTAGGTCATGCCCTTTACATGGACAGTTTGTTTTACTAGGGACAACAGCCTCCATGAACTCCACAGTGAGTTTAATGGCAACTTCTAAAGTAGCGGGTTGGTGCCTCTGCATCAAACTCTGGTGACCTCAGGGAGACTGTGCAACAGCTGTTCCAAAATCTCCCCCCCCCCCCCACCCACTCTTTGGTCACCTGGCCTCATCCACCTAGTGGCCCAGTCTAATAACTTTTGTGCAATGCAACTTACTGCTTGAAACCTTTGCCTGTTTCATTCTGCCAACAGACTCATATGACCTAAAATGGCTGCCTTTATGGTATCCTAATCCACAGCTTGTTCAGCACCATGTAGGCAGCCTGAGCTTCTCCTGAGAGATAGGGAGCTAATTGGAAGCCCCTTGCTGTCTTTTCCCAGCCTGCTCCCAAAGCCACCTTCTCAAACATCAACAAAAAGCCATTGGGATCATTCACTAGGCCCATTTTGCCCAAGCCTGTGCCCATCACTTAGATATCACTCCCTATTGAGGGACTCAACAGCTTCTCTGGGAGCTGTTGCTGCACCTGCAATTGGCCTGCAATAAAATGCTGTAGGCTTTTTTGTTTTGCTGGCCAGGAAAACGAGGATTATCTCTCAGTGCACTGGGTCATCTGAAACTCCTGAAGGGATTTCTTTAACTCCATTTGTTGCTCAACTACTCGGCACAGGAACATCTCCATATTGCCCAATCTGCCACTCCTTATCATCATCTTCTCTCTCCAGTTCTTTGCCTACACCAGAGTGGGAAATCCCAGATAAACCCCCAAATGTCACAGGGGCACTCTTGGCAAGCAACCCTCATATGCTGCCAAGTTAATGGGTGAAATCCAGACCCCTTTGAAATCAATGGTAGTTTTGCCATTGTCTTCAGTGGAGCTAGGATTTTACCCCGTGTATTTAGATAGGCTTTTCCTTAGTGGAGTGAGTTATTGGGGACTGGGAGCATGGGTGGTGTATTCTGGTTTGCTGGTTTTCTGTGTGGAGAGGGGAGTTCTTTCAGTATTTCTGATGTCAATTTAGATGAATTATGGTGTTTTAAAAAAGATATTAATGCAAGTGGGCCTAGAGATATGTGATAGAGATGCTACATGTACTGGGGTGGGGGAGTGGAGAGAATAGGTAAAATAAAGAACTTGAATGTTCTTTCTTTCAGTCGTTTCAAATGTTACCTGGGAACCAGTTTCCCAGACCAGCTCTTCACAACAACCAACACAGGTCACTACATCACCATCATCAATAACAGAAGCAAGTGACAAAACTAGTAGTGATAAGTGATAACTTTTGCTGACCAGCTGTTGAACCCACTGGAGGCTGCATTTCTAAACAATAGTGTGGAACAGTAGAGAGCACAAACAATGTAGTTCTGGCAGTAAAATTAGGGATTTGAGAGCAAGTGTTCTCTTAGCTATTAAGTTTACTTCTCAGATACTTCATTCCACAGTAAACCTCTCCATAATGAAGTCCTACTCCAGTGGCTCAGACACTAAAATGTTTCATTTTTTATGAGAGAGATGGCTTTGAACCAATGCACTGGATTTGAACAACCTTGTAATTTGAGGAGGTGGGATGACAAGGTCTTTGGTTTGTCTGTTTTTTAAAAGAAAGTGGATAATCAAGACATGACCATATAAAGTGATCAGAGTGGTCCCAGAACAGCATTCCCCTATATAAACAATAAAGCCCAGATTTTACACAGTTCTAGTACTGGATCAAAACAGATCAGTGTGGCATTTATTAAGGAGCTTTGAGAGGAAAATGGAGGCAGGGTGCTACAGAGCTGACCGTGTTACAAACAAGCAGGAATAGAAGCCAGCTGCATCTCCCTCGGCTGTGTTAACTGAAAAGGGAGTTAAATTTAGTACAAACGTTTGTCCCTAAAGTAAATAGATGTGACTCTGAGCAGATCTGTTGAGTAAGAAGGTGCCATTTTCACCATTTTACTTTTCAAAGCTAGAATAATACTTTGGCCCCGTTTCAGCAAAACACTGAAGGATGCACTTTTTACATATGCTTTGATGCTTTACCAAATAGGAAAGGACTTCACCATATAGCTTGCTTAAGTGCTTCACTGAATTGGGGCCTTTAAAATATTCATTTTTTAAGTTATCATAGAACTTAAGGATGGAAATAATTATTTGGTTATGTAGTCCAGCACCCTAATAGTGCATGATGGCTTCCCAGCATATTTTCCAAAATCTTGTCGAGTCTAGTTTTAAATGGTATAAGTCACCAAGGTTTCTTTTTCTTTCCTTAAATCTGTTTTCTATAATCTAATGGATTTAACTACTTCAAAGTGAGCACAGGATAATTTAGGCTAGGGAAGAGTAACAGTTTTAACATTATTAACAATAGTAACAATATTACTCCCAGTCCCCACCCTTTGGGCCTGAAAATTAGTCCTCTCTTTTACTTGTCAGTTACACCTTCAAATTCTGTACGCATCAAAATTCAGGCTTTGCCTTTGTATTGAACAGTCTAATGTGTTTGGTCCTCCTTCTCCACTGTATTTTGACCAGCATTCAGGTTCTGTTATTGCAGAAAGCATGGGTGAACAACAGGCTAAAATATCCCCAATGAAAAAGCTGTTGAAGTGTGGGAGAAAGTGTCAAAAGCCCTAAGCAAAAATCACTAATGTGGCTCCTTTCGGTTTGATAGAGGTTCCTGACTCAAGGGTATTAGTGCAGGACAGCCATCTGGAACTAAAACATACCGACAGGTAGGGCTCCTGGCATGTGAAGAAATGCTGATGAGGAAAAGCATGCCTGTCTGTGCAGCTTAGTTCCAGGTGGTGGTCAGTATTGATATGCTGGAGTAGGCCAGGCTTGGAAACCTCTTTAATATTTTGAAGCAATAGGGAAGAAATAAAGTGGGGGAAGTCTGGTGAGTGGTATATTCCATAAGCAAAACATACATTAATACATAGAGATGGCCTTGAGCTGGAAAAGGCCCAAAGATATAGGGCCTCAAAATTTGTGGGTATTTGAATTGAAATGGATGCTGACATTTTAATTCAGGACCATTTCAATTGATATGATTTTCCCTGTCCACCCAACGCACCCTCAGCCTGTCTGCATCTTAATGGGTGGTGCTTATTATGTGATCTTACTTACTTACCTGCCACTTGGAGTAAGAAATTAAAATGTTCGATTTAACCAACTAATTCCCATTTATAGACTACTACCAAAGAAACAAATGTTCCCTGATTATATTTGCAGTCCTTACCCAACCTTTACTCTCTTTAAATCAATGGGAGCTTTGATTAAGGACTGTGGGATTTAGCCCCATAATCAAAGTAGGGTAATTTCAATTTTCATTCACTGTTAAGGTTTTGATTGGAAACAACATGAAGGGTGGCCTTTCTTGCATGCCCATCTCCCCGCCCTCCAACTGCATCTGCAAATTAATAAGACAGTATATAGCTGTCTCTGGAGGGCAAGGGTAGTGTTGGATTTTTAAAAAAAATCAACACATTTTTTTCAATCCCAAAATGCAATTTCATCAAAGCCAGAATGTTTTGCAGAAATGTAACAGTTTTGACAAAAAATATTGTTGGGAAGGTTTTTTAAGTCCAGGATGGAATTTCTGATGAAAGCGATACTGCAGAATAGCAAGACTGGTAGGTCGCTTACCTTGAATGGGGGAGGGGGACCCAATTTAAAATCACTATTCTGCCTGATTAACAGCAGGAATTTGAACCTAGGTTTCCTGCATCCCAAATGTTCAATTGGCTATTCTGGGGTGAGTCACTCTTGTTTTGATGCAGAATGGAAACAAATTTTGAAACCTCATAATTTTTCACGAAAGGTGATCATGGCTTCATTACCTGCATTCCACCATCTTTATTTGCACACTGGAGGGATGGCGGGGGGAGTTACCTTTGTCCTCGTTTCCCTCTGTGACAAGTACACATGACAGACCAGAATTTTCCCCATAAAATGGAGACTAGTCTATTAGAATATTGGCCACTACCTTTCTTTTTCAATTACTCTTCATTCCCTCCCACCAGCCCATCTTCAGTGTGTCTCAGAGTACAAATGACAATAATTCAAGATTGCCTAATGAAATTTTAAATTTCACCTTAAAAAAACCACTAGGCTGGATCTATAATAAAAATTAGGACTTTCTGCAAAAGAACATATATATTGCTTTTTAACTGGGAAAATCACTTTCCCCACGCCAACCCCTGGTAAAAGCTTCAGAAGATGATCCCATCCACACAGCAGAGATTTGACAGCTCTCCCCATCTCTGCTACTATTTCTATTGCTGCTGTGTGCTTTGTGAAAGAATGAAATAGCCTCTTTTCTCAGTCTACCATATTTCTTCCCCTCCACAGGCACTCTTTCCCTCTCCCTCTGTTTATTGATATATTAGGCCAAACATATTAGGCCACTGTCCTTTGTCTTTTATTAATATTTGAGGACAACCCCAGTAGCTTTTACTAAATCAAAACTACTGCATCTGACCTGCAGTCCACAGCCCCAAACAAGAGCTGTGTGTAAGATCCAGAGCTTGTTTCTCTCACCAGCAAAAGTTAGTCCAATAAAATATATTACCTCACCCGCTTTGTCTCTCTGGTATTTTTGTTTGTAGTAAACTACAGATGCAAAAGACCAGACACAATCAAGTGTGTATATAAATATTCGAATTCTATAATTAATATAATTTAGACCTCTGACTACCAGGGGCACAATCAAGTAGACATTTACTGTGAGGTTTTCAAAGCTGTCTTGATTATTTGAACAATGATTTACCATTAATTTGAATGGGGATTGGGCATCCCAATCCCTGAGGATTTTGATGTTGCACTATGCCCTAGTGGATAGAGCACTGGACTGGAACTCGGGAGACCTGGTTCTTACCATTCGCCTGCTGGGTAACCTTGGAAAAGTCACTTCCTTGCTCTGTGCCTCAGATTCCTCATCTGTTAAATGGGGATAATGATGCTGACTTCCTTTATAACGTGCTTTTGAGTTGTGCTGATAAGAGCTGGGTTTTATTCACATCTGCAAGCAGCTGCATGTGCTGTTGACTATAGGTGCGAAATTAGAGGCCTGAGTAAATCCTCTTAGAAAATTTGGTCCTCTGTGTGTGTATGTGTAAGGTATAAGCTCCACAGAAATCACTTCGTTTTCCACTTAAAATCTCTTACGGGAAATAGAAAGATTTTGACTGGAAATGCACACTGTTTCTTTTGGCCTGAAAGATGCTTAACCAAAGTAGCCTCAATTTTTGAAGTGTGTCTATGAATTACTAAGATGGTTGACTATACATCATTTTTTACACACAGATAATTTTGGTTTTGATGTTCTCTACACTTCACAATCATTTTTGACTTATCTGATGTGGTTCTAATATCAAAACTAGTTAGCTAGCAGCCTGTGGGGAGGGAAATTAAGAGCACTATGTGGAAAAACTGAAATGTATGTGGATTGTATATAAGATAAGTGGTAATTCACCCTGAGATCAAGAGAGGATATATGTAAAATTTCAGTTCATTAAAAGAAAATGAAGGGCTGTTGGACACAAGTAGTAGGCAAAACCTGATGCTCAGACAGCAGATTTACCAGAACAGCTCCAGTTTTCCCCCCTTGCTTTCCTGCTGATTATTCCTTTGACAAATATGCGTTGAGAACAGTGGTTAACATACTGTCATTTATCCTACCAAAATATCAGCAGGGAAAACTGAATCACTGCCAGGGAGTTCTGTGATGGCAGCATCAGACTCCACTAGGATGACGGCTGGTAAGGCATCCCTTTAAAATCTTATTTATAATCAACTGTTGACAACAGACCCCTTAAACAATGATGTGACTCTGTTTTACAGCAGCAACCTGCTTTCTCTGCTGTGATGCTTTGCTGTGAATGCAGCATCCTCCTGTTAAGCATGCAGAAATCTTTTCTGCAGCCGGCGGAATAGGCACATAATGAATTACTGCAGTGATGTGTCAGTGGGAAGGGCAGATCTGGATCACTGAGTGCCCAAGAGGAACCAGCAGGGGATTCTATTACAGAACACTGGCATTGTAATAAGCAGAGAACTCAGATTTACACTGTCTCCTTCTACTTCCTACATCAAATTAAGTCTCTTGAAGATCTGAGTTATGGGTTTTATCAAAACCCAAATCTCTAGCAGGCTCAGTGCAGCTCTTCCATTTATAAGCACTGGCTATATCTGAATGAGTCAGCCTCTTTAGAGAATTGACACCAGAACTGCTCCATCTACTTAGGAGATCCAAATACTGTGTATTAGACACAAGGCTTAGATACTACTGAAGGCCCCAAATCAGTTGTTGAGATTTAACTGTAAAGGATAGAATTACAGATAGAATTAAGAGAATCTCCGCATTAGGTTGCCTCTTTAAGCTCACATGGAGTCCAATGCAGAGGGCCTGTGCACAACTTTGTGCCCACTTCAGCCCTCAATATAGGGCTTAAGGGCCTGATCCAAAGCCCATTGAAGTTAATGGGATTCTTTCTAAATAACTGCAATGGGCTTTACATCAGGTTTTAAGTAAGGCATAAGTAGTACTGTTACCCCTTCTGACTAGGGATGTAAATATTGTTTAAATAGCTAACTATTTAAACGATAAAAATTATACCATTTAACTGGTTAACCGATTAAAGGGAGAGGGGCTGGAGCTGCTCCAGCCGGCACGCCGGGGTTTAACATTTAGGGTGGGTTAATGGTAAGACTAACACTTACCGGATAACAGTTTAACCATTTGATATTTTACATCCCTACTTCTGACCTGAGCAGCTAGCCAAAAACTCAGGGTCTAATAGGTCTTTCCAGTTCAGAGGAAAAATTGGTGACACTAAGGCCTGATCTACATTAGGAACTTACATCGGCATAGCTACATCTTTCAGGGGTGTGAAAATCCACGTCCCTGAAAGATGTAGCTAGACTGACCTAACCCCCGGTGTAGACAGTGCTAGGTCAACAAAGGAATTCTTCCATTGTCCTAGCTACCACCTCTCGGGGAGGTGGATTACCTATGCCAATGCAAATACCCCTCCCATCGGCATAAGTACTGTCCATGCTGAAATGCTACAGTGGCGCAGCTGCAGTGTTTTGAATGTAAATATACCCAACACACGCACATACTTACCCAGACAATGCTCAGCAAAACACCTCTGCCCAAAACTCCTGGGCAGGATGAGAACCACTTTTGTCTTGGGTGGAGGGAGCTTGTGATTAACTTATCCTGACAGTATTGGCAATTGAAGGGTGTGTTCATGCCCAATCTCAAGGAGCTTTTAACTCTGTTTCACCCAGCTCATAACAGTACCTTGGCCATCCCTCTGTACAGGACGGAATTTCGCCCACGCTGAATAAATTGTATCAAAAAAGATAAATGAAGATTATGTTCTCTCACTGATCCTCCACTGTGGAATATACATGTTCCCCAGAACAATCTGTTCTCACAGCAACTAAATATGAGTAGAGTACTTAGACCTGGGTTGCTGCCAGTAGGGAGGTGACTCTTGGAGCATGTGCTCCCTGTGGGATTACAGCCATATGTGGGCCCTGGAGCCATCCTTAGCTAAATAGGCAAGTGGACTGCATGTCGCTGTAACCCCAAAACAACTGGCTGGTGTGGAGGTTTCATCTTTGAATCATTAGGTACTGGCCATGGCTGAAGGTAGATGACAGACTAGATGGACAGTGGTTTGTTGTGGTCTGGTGAGTCTAGTGTTTCTGTCTGGTTTACATTTGCTGTCTGTTGAGGAATCACAAACTACCTATTTGGGTTTCTTTTAATGCCTACTGGTCCAAATTTTGCTATCTTTTACACCCTGTACAAGTCCACTAAAGATGATGGTTTTGCTTGCATGTAAATTAAGAGGAAAATTTGGCCCACAAACTTTAACACCAAAGATTAATGAAGAAAAAAATCATACAAGAGTCCAAGATCAATCCAGACTGCTGTCTGTAGCAGCTGTCGGCACAGTTCAAAATCAGCTCTCTTAGGCCTGGTCTACACTACGAGTTTAGGTCCAATTTAGCAGCGTTAAATCAAATTAAGCCTGGATACGTCCACAAGACGAAGCCCTTTTTTTCGATTTAAAGGGCCCTTTAAACCAGTTTCTTTACTCCACCTCCAACGAGGGGATTAGCGCTGAAATTGGCCTTTCTGGGTCGGATTTGGGGTAGTGTGGACGGAATTCGACCATATTGGCCTCCGGGAGCTATCCCAGAGTGCTTCATTGTGACCGCTCTGGACAGCACTCTCAACTCAGATGCACTGACCAGGTAGACAGGAAAAGCCCTGTGAACTTTTGAATTTCATTTCCTGTTTGCCCAGCATGGAGAGCACAGGTGACCACACAGAGCTCATCAGCTCATCAGGTAACCATGATGGAGTCCCAGGATCGCAAAAGAGCTCCAGCATGGACCGAACGGGAGGTACGGGATCTGCTCGCCATATGGGGAGACGAATCAGTGCTAGCTGAACTCCATAGCAGTAAACGAAATGGCAAAATATTAGAAAAAGTCTCAAAGGCCATGAAGGACAGAGGCCATAACAGGGACGCACAGCAGTGCTGCATGAAAATTAAAGAGCTAAGGCAAGCCTACCACAAAGCCAGAGAGGCAAACAGAAGGTCCGGGGCAGAGCCGCAGACATGCCGCTTCTACGCGGAGCTGTATGCCATGCTAGGGGGTGCAGCCACCACTACCCCAACCCTGTGCTTTGACTCCATCAATGGAGAATCACGCAACAGGGAAGCGGGTTCGGGGTACGAGGAAGATGATGATGAAGACAATGAAGATAGCTCACAGCAAGGAAGCGGAGAAACTGGTTTCCCCAACAGCCAGGATATGTTTATCACCCTGGACCTGGAATCAGTAACCCCCGGACTCACCCAAGGCGTGCTCCCAGACCCTGAGGGCACAAGGGACCTCTGGTGAGTGTACCTTTGTAAATATTACACATGATTTAAAAGCAAGCGTTTTTAATGATTAATTTGCCCTGGCTATCGTGGCCAGTACAGCTACTGGAAAAGTCTGTTAACATGTATGGGGATGGAGCTGAAATCCTCCAGGGACATCCCCAGAAAGCTCTCCTTGATGTACTCCCAAAGCCTTTGCAAAAGGTTTCTGGGGAGGGCTGCCTTATCCCGTCCGCCATGGTAGGACACTTTACCATGCCAGGCCAGTAGCATGTAGTCTGGAATCATTGCATAACAAAGCATGGCAGCGTATGGTCCCGGTGCTTGCTGGCATGCAGACAACATCCATTCCTTATCTCTCTTTGTTATCCTCAGGAGAGTGATATCATTCACGGTCACCTGGTTGAAATGGGGTGATTTTATTAAGGGGACATTCAGAGGTGCCCTTTCCTGCTTGGCTGAACAGAAATATTCCCCAATGTTAGCCACACGGTGGGGGGGAGGGGTGAAGTGATCATCCCAGAGAATTGGGTGGGCGGGGTAGGAGGGTTAGTTGGGTTTGTGCTGCATGTTAACCCGGAAACCGCAGCCCCTCCTTTTACATTGCAAACCCATTTTAAATGGCCAACCCAATGGATGCTTGGTATGGGAAATGAGGGCGCTACTGTTTGAAACCATTTCCCATGTTATGAAGGTTAAAAAAGCCAAAAGACTGTGGCTTACCATGGCTGCCTGCAAGCCGAATTCTGTTGCCTGGCTCTACATGAGTGATCTCTCACACCAAACCAGCAGGCCCTCAATATAAGAGGAAAAATGAGACCTTGTAACGAAAGCACATGTGCTGTGTAATGTGACCAGCAAAATTTAACATTAAAGAGTGTACCCATTGTTCTCTAAAATGTGTCTTTTTTAACCACCTTTCCCTTCTCCTCCACCAGCTGCAAATGTTTCTAGTGAAGATTAGAAGGAGAAAACGGCGGACTCGGGATGATATGTTCTCGGAGCTCCAGATGTCCTCCCATGCTGACAGAGCACAGCAGAATGTGTGGAGGCAGTCAATGTCAGAGTGCAGAAAAGCACAATATGAACGAGAGGAGAGGTGGCGAGCTGAATCGCGGGCTGAAGAGAGCAAGTGGTGGGCTGAAGAGGATAGGTGGCGTCAGATTGCTGACAGAAGGCAAGAGTCGATGCTCCGGCTGCTGGAGCATCAAACTGATATGCTCCAGCGTATGGTTGAGCTGCAGGAAAGGCAGCAGGAGCAGAGACCACCGCTACAGCCCCTGTGTAACCAACAGCCCTCCTCCCCAAGTTCCATAGCCTCCTCAACCAGGCACCCAAGAATGCAGTGGAGGGGCCTCCGGCCATCCGGCCACTCCACCCCAGATGATTGCCCAAGCATCAGAAGGCTGGCCTTCAATAAGAGTTAAAGTTTTAAAGTTTTAAACTGCAGTGTGTCCTTGTCCTTCATTCCTCCCCCACCCCTCCCGGGCTACCTTGGCAGTTATCCCCCTAGTTGTGTGATGAATTAATAAAGAATGCATGAATGTGAAGTAACAATGACTTTATTGCCTCTGCAAGCGGTGCTCAAAGGGGGGAGGGGAGGGTGGTTAGCTTACAGGGAAGTAGAGTGAACCCGGAGGGGGGGGCGGTTCATCAAGGAGAAACAAACAGAAGTTTCACACCGTAGCCTGGCCAGTCACAAAACGGGTTTTCAAAGCTTCTCTGATGCACACCGTTGCTGTACTCTTCTAACCGCCCTGGTGTCTGGCTGCGCATAATCAGCGGCCAGGCGATTTGCCTCAACCTCCCACCTGCCATAAATGTCTCCCCCTTACTCTCACAGATATTGT